TTAGAGCACCATGCTCATTAATTATTTACTATGAATGACTCTTATTTTGACAGAGAACCAAAACATTTTTTAACATTTGTTTTCTGTGTTCAATGTCCCATTAATCAAGCTAATTAAACTGGGTGCAGGTATGATAGGAAACATGATTGTTCCATTGGGTCTATAATCAGATATCCTACTTTTAGGTGAACTAATCAAGGAACCACTTGAGATAATTATACTCATCACGAATTTCAGACCACAGAGGCGTTCGTTTAGGGAATAAATAGTAAAACTGGTGGAGTCACGAAAGAGAAATCTGTTAAAATAAGCAACTTCATCCAAACTTTTTCAGTGCTTAAGACATTGTAAAAACTTAACAAATTCTGGATACATTTTAAAGTATGCCAATGCAACTGTTTCTGCATGCATCAATGTTTTTCTGTAGAAAGCATTTTTATTATCCAAGCAGGGAATAGGGTTTTGGATTATACTTTGGTTAAAAGAAAATTGGGTTTATTGCTCTTTTTTTTAATTTCTTTTCATACAAATTACTTCTCACAAAGCATTCATTTATACTAGAGACCACAGCAAATGTACTGAAATAATCCAAATAATGGGCTCGACACACAGGAGGCGACAAACGACTGCGATCAACAACCGTCCGCTATCACTTAACCTGACCCACGGGAGGAACCTTGCAGCAGTGCTCTGTTCCAGGGAAAACAGCGAGTCTTCTGTTGTTTTGATTGGCCATCAGATTAGAGAGAATGTTGGGTCATCAAAGCAGTTCAGAGCTCAAGAGTTCAAGGTTTTGCTAGAGTTAAAGTCTCTTTCCGGAGTATTTCTCTTACCCGATGGCACCATCAAGTGGCTGGTAAGCATATCACACAAATGTTCTCTTGCTTAGTTTTTTTAAGATGGCGACTTCACGTTTCTTGTTAACGGGTTTCTGTAACTGACAAACAGAACTAAAACACATATTTTTACAAGTATTATTCTCATGTCATATTCTCATATATTTATATTTTAAAGACTTACTTGTCCATGAAAAGTTTGTCAACTCTGCATCAGCCGAGGTATTCCTTAAATTTGAATCATGTAAGCGGTAGTCTAACGCTATTGGTTAGTTCTGGTCGGCGCTCAATTTCCTATTGCACGGAGCTCTGCGGGGCTGGGCGTGCTTAGCAAAATCAAAAAAATGACAAATTGCTTATATTATTTCACAGTACATGATAAGAGAATCACTTTTATGCATACAGCATTTCTGAATGGGGAAAACTCCAAAAAGATACTTTAAGTGAAGTCTTACTTCTGACTTTATAAAAAATATATATATGTGAATGGGTTCATCATAAATTATAAACAGAAAAAGGAACGGTGATCTGAGACCACACTCACATTTAACGATTTCCCATGTCGCTGCCTTTTTGTGGTCTCAATATTCTTTTGTATGTTGTAAAGCTCTGGGAAATCCGACACGGCAAGTGTTAACCATTCCTTCATGTTTGCCTGGAGATGTACTGAGAAGCATCCTGTCCGCTCATTGGTCAGTCAGTGAAACCTCCGCTGATTGGACCTTGTCTGAGCGACATCGGTGAAAAGTTTAAATTTTCTCAACTTTCTGGGATCGCGTCGCCGGCTTGCCTGTGCACGGCACATGCACGAGTGCAAAATTTCACATTCACTTTTTCACTTGGCATGAGGGAGACCCGCGATTATCACGTTGTCATGTCTCATTGAAAATGAATGGAGGGGAGACGATGTTGCCTCCCACGTCTCGAGCACATAATTATCCCTTAAAGTAAAACAGCAGTTTGCTGCTCCCAGCCCTACTGGTTGAAAGTGGAATTACTAGTGTTCTAAACAACCTTGCTGCAGCCTGCTGTAGCTATGCTAACAACAAGCTAACACTAGCATGAGCTAATTAATACTAAAATAAACTACAAAGTAAAAAGATCCACACTGGTGGAAAAATATATAAGTCACGAGCAAACTTCTTGTTCTTGTGCTTTTTATTGACGATCGGTGAACTGAAAATGCTAACCACTAGCTCCCTCAAGCTAGTCTAGGCCGTGCCGATGTTTGCTATTTCTTTTCCTTAAATATGAAACTAGTCAAGTTTCTTACTCAACAATCACTGTGATCAGTGTTAAAGCTCTAGCTTAAGTTTATATATATATATATATATATATATATATATATATATATATATATATATATTATTGTTACTTTCTCAACTCAAGAGTCAAAATTGACCCTTAAATTGGCACTGTAAAAGTCTAAATAAAGTATCCCTGAAAAGTAAGTGGCAGAAGTTTCAGGTCCTCACTGTTGACATTTTTAATATGTTTACAACAAATTATGCATGAGTGCATGGAATTGGGCGGTGAGCACACTTATATAGGAATTTGGGAGAAAACTGTTGAATAAATATTGATTTTCAGAAACATCTGGGAAAATCTGAGGATTACGTGATGTCATCACATTCAGATAAACTTTTGTTTTTAATTCTTTTTAGAGTTTATAATTGTTTTTATTTTTTCAAACCCACAGAAGGAATTGCATATAGTGGTGAAGAATGTGGTGAAAAATGTAGTGAAGAAAACACAATTAAATGGACAAAAAAGAAGCTTCATAATTTTTGATTAATCAGCCAACTTTTGAGCCGTGTGCCAAAACGTGGACCAATCAGCCTCCTGTGCTGCAAGAAGGAAAAGACGAGGATACTGCTACATGGTTAGTTAGATCAAAACTGGAGAACTTTTCTTCGCTTGCAACAATAAAGAAGAGCAAGACTGACGCTATGAAGGTTTTTGACCTCAGATGGAATATGGTGCAGGAAGCAGAATGTGTGGCGCTGCAGCCTGAAGGCAAAACTCTGGTCGGTGCTTCAGACCGCTTCAAGTGTTTGTGATCATGTAGATTAAAAGCTCTCTGACTCCTGATCTCTGAAGCTGAAGGTTCTCCTCTTCAATTAGTAAAGGAGTCTCTGACACTTTGATCTACCAGTCTGGTTTTGCCCCCTACTGAGTGCCTCCTAAAATACACGACGGCTTCATTACAGTATTTAAATATTAATGTAGATTAGCTGTAAGGTTATTTTTTCTGCATCGTTTGTTTATTTAATTGCACATTGTTCTAATTACACAACTGCTAATTTTCACCTGAGAACTTAGATTATTTAGAGCCTTTTATTGTTCAATAATACCCTGTAGCTCATGTTTTTCAAATTTCAAAACATTTGGAGCTCCA